ATACTAGTATCAGCAACTCCTCCTCTGTATCAGCAAGAACTTGTTGTATTGTCAGTGTCCTCCATTTCAACAGCTTCTCCATATCAGGGACTCCTGTCAGCAACTCCTATCAGTAACTCCTATGTATCCTCCATATTAGTGGCCTCTGCTACAACAACAATTTCTCCTATCAGTGACTTGTATCAGCAGCATCCTCCTCTCTGCTGCTGCTCTGGTGTGTAAGCACTCTGCTATGTATCAGCATCCTCTCTTCTCCTCTGTGTCAGCATCCTCCTCCATATCAGCAAGCATCCTCCGTAAGGGAATGATGAGATAGCAATTTTAGTTGCATTTTAGGTATCATACTTGTAATTTCTGAACTCATAACTTTTACATTGCGTTGCTAGGTACTAGCCACGTAACATGCTCTGTGGTAGTAYGTACGTACGGTACGAGTAGGACCGTGCACATGATACGTAGGTACCGAACGTACCACAGAAAGATATTTTCAGAGATTACTTTCGACAACTAAGTACTAGTAGTCCTCATCTTCAGGATATCGGCTCCCGAAAGCCAACACAACCATTCAGTACAAGACAGACTACTACAGACAACATCCCAGTCTAGATTCTATCGCAATCAATATCGATATGGCTCTGTCGGAATAATATGTCGCAACCTACCTGTTCTAGCCCTGATCCAATCTCGAAGTCCGTTATTTCCATCGTCAAGGAAATTAGATCGTCACTCTTTCTTGCTACATCCGTAATCGGAGACAATGTTTTACTTGGGTCCATATCATCATGTGGCAACTGCCGAAAGTCAAGCACATTTCAGTTTGAGTGCGGACGTCTGAAATACTCCCACGTTAAAGGGAAGTGGTCTATTCTTCATCGACCCATTCCTTTCTGCAACGATCCCGATGACATCGAGGAGCCCAAATTGAGTAACAGCAAGAAAAATGGAGTTGCAATGGTTGTTGCTAGTCTCTGGCCTGCTTCCAAAGAACACGCAGGAAAACCGATACGAAAGAAAAGCAGCCAAAAGCGAAAGAGAAGATTGTACGACGAAGAAAAGAATACATTATGCGCTATGGACGAAAATAATGTTGGTTGTGTTAGCGACCTCGAGGACGATCATAGTATGACGGAAGCAAGTACGCAGCCATTACCATCACGATCAAGGTCAGGAGAAGTGCAGCGAAACGAACARATGATGCCTCCCATAGAGTTAGTGCGATGTCTCTTGTATTTAGCAGAATTTGTCTCTTACTTGAACTGYGCTAGGCGCGAAGTGGAAACTTCGATACAAACTTCGACACACGACGAGAACGATGTTTTGAATGTGAATGCCAATCGTAATGGCAGTGAAAAAAGAAAGAACATAGGAAATCTCAACGATGCAGAAATGAATTTCACTCGTACAGCTAAATTCCGGCCTCGACAATTTACGAAGAAAATGAAACATGGATCAATCAATCTACAACCGCTTTTGATTGCATCGATGGTTCATGATTCAACATTTTCGTCACCAAAATCATCATCATTGTCCGCAATAATTAGATTGAAAGAAGACGGCACAAATGTTGCTAGACCACCAAGAGGGGCAATTGTGTTACAACTCATTGATGAGTGCATTCGATTTGCCCATACRCACACCTTAGACCTTATTGATTCTTGGTCATCCAGTTGGGAAACGCGAACTTACCTTCAGTCAGAGATAATGGAAGAAATTGTTGACAATGAAAATCAATTATTATCCATGGCTGGTACCAAAACTGTCGCGTCCAAAAGTAGAGTTGAGAGGAGACTTCACAAAACGGGGAAGATATCATCAGAAGCAAAGGCTGTGATCACAGGTTTTGTCAGATCTTGTTTGGCACATCCATTGGAAGAGACTTCCGAGTCAAATTCAAGAACACTTGGTTCAACGGTACCATCGCAAAGTAATCACAATGAGAAGAATAAAGAATTCGGCAATATCGAATCGACGTTGTCATCGAAAAGCAAACGAAAATCAATGCTTCGTCGTAGCTTCATTTCGGCTCACGAGCCCTCGGATTCTCTAGCTACTACTAGTATTACCGAAAGGCGGAATAAATGTGATCATCGCTTGCGTGCAAATCTCTTGTTATCAAAGAAAACGACTGGATTAACAACTGATAAAGAAGGACATAGTAGGCGGAGATCGAGTTGCAATATTTCGAGACCCTCGCCTTCGGTGTTGGAAACTACCAAAACACGTATTTCACGAAGGATGATTCGAAAGGCACTTACCAATTCGAATAGTGAGAGAAAGATAGCAGYGCAATTGGGGAAGGGGATTAAAACGCACAGGTCAAATGAGGGGAGTACTACTCACATTGGAAAACCATCGGTTGTGAACAATTCTGATTACGGTGGTCACAATCCAGATTTTACGGTCAAATGCAAGACAGGCGTTAGTGATGAGAAGACCTCGGCTGGGTYATTGAACGTATTCTCCGAAAATGAAGATGAGGAAAATGGAAACGATATCCTTAACACCTTGAAAGAGAAGAAATGTAGCAATAATAGTGGGTGCGTAGCATCCCCGTCGAAGCAGGAATCCAAAAATCGCAACGTTGAACSTACTCTCAGCAGGACGTTCCGGTGGGATGGGGTAGTGACAAGTCCGCTTGTTGGCAACCAAAAGAAGATTGAGAACAAGAAYATTTCCTTCGAAAGTTCAGTCCTCGATCCGAAGTTGAATGGTAGGAATGGAGATGACACGAGTTTGGGCGAATACTGTATGGTGAAAGATCAATGTAGACATGAAGACAATGCTGCTAAGAAACAATCATCGATTGGAATTAAGGAAAGGTCACTCAAATTATCACCACCGCCTCGAGAACTCTGTGACGAAATATTGAAATTGAAGTTCCAATCGTCAGTGGAAAAGCAAGACATTCATACAGAAAGTTCGGCGAATAACCACCACAGTAACCATTGCGAAGTTGACGGCGGCAGAGTAAAAAACAAAGATGAAAACAACCGTACAAAATATATTGGTGCGGAGACTCTGAATGCTCTAGCAGAAACGCCTAGTTTGCCATGGGTTCGTCTGACCCACGTTGTAAGTATAAGTCTAGCTTTAAATTTCCTTGCCGTTTTTGTTTGCTTGTTTGATACTTTTAGTACCGATTCTTATCATTTTTTTGTTTTTAAACAAAAAAGGGTCACATTTCTGATTATCATGGATACAAACGAAGATATGAACATATTGCTCCGTTGCACTTTGGGACTATYGATGATATTCGAAAGCAGATTGGAAGAACGCTGGTTGAAAATAGTGGAGACAACGAAGAAAATGACGAAGACATTATCAAAGAAAACGCGGACTATGAGAGAGCGATAAAGGAACATGAATTATTGGCCGAAAAGGAGAGATCTGTTCGGGCGAAAGTCAAAAATGAAAGTAATCAGGAAGCGCGGCAAAAATCGAAGGAAGAGGTTCAAAATAGTATGTCGGTTATGTTTTCTCTGCCAACGAACGCTCCCRATGCTATGATCTCATTATCAACGAAAGATTCGGCGCACGATAGAATCAACAACATTTTTGATTTCGATGAATCAGAGCTGCAACCACCGGCTAAATTTAAATTCTTCGACGAAGAAGATTCTATCTTATTCAACGTTGACGAAAACAGCAAAGATGATAGTCGCACAAGGAGAAGTAGGTCTGCTCAAATGGTAGCGCAGAAGAAAACTTCAATTCAGATACTCAACCAAATGCTTCATTCCCTTGACTTCATTGAGAAATAYAATCGCAAGCCGAAAGAGGTGACTAAATTGAGGAATGAAAAAAGGGAAGAAGTGGTTGCTATAGAAAGTAAAACTGAGACTGAAAAAACTACAGTGGCGTTTACTATGGAAAACGTGGAGTCTAGTGAAAATTCTAACGAGGAGCACGAAGGCGATTTCAGTGCCAAGAAATGTGAAAGAACGGCAAAATGTGACCGGCGTGAATCCTCTGACGAAAATACAGACCCTGTCGAGTTTAAGCCTTTGTTTGTACCTTTGACTCCAACTGCACACCTGGAAAATTACAAGGCACTTCAGAAACAATATTCGTGTTTTCGTCCGCTGAAGGCAAAAGGTGATATTGAGGGAGTGATAGACGAGATTCGCTCAATTTTAAATGAAGACGACTTGCTCTATGAGTATCTAAAACAAAAAGAATTTGTTTTGGAAGAAAAAGAACTTTCAAGGTGTATTCGGGGATATTCGAATAAAGCAGATCAGGAGAAAATCGAGAAAAAAAACTTCGAAGAGGAACAGAAACTCCGGCAGCACGAGTTCGAATACTACCATCAGCACAAATTCAAGAAAAATACACCAGAGAATATTGAATGGAAGAAAATGTTTACGAGACGCATTCGTTATGTTGGATCAAATGCACCATTGCCGACGAGCTTCGAAAGGTGCAGGTTGAAACCAAGATGCTTAATTTGTGACCCAATCCTTCGAGATAAATCTCCCGATGAGAGTGTCATTTATTTTCCTGGCTTTAGGCAAGTGAAAGAAGACATTTATATCCCYTGTGCCATTGATTCAAGCAAAGAGTCAACGGTGAGGAGGAACACAAGTTACAAGCGTCGGGTAAAGCTAGCTTCTTCACTAAAATTGCTGGAACTCTTTCATACATTTGAGTTTATCCGGGATTACAACAACGGCATGATTGTGTCGAGGAAGAAGAGAAGAAAAAAAGTAKTTTTTTGACTGGAAATTTAGAATGACGAACACTTCATACCCATAAAAGAATGTCATACTACACTTTATACCCAAAAATGCATATCATATTATCCTGTCAATGATCGCCAACATCCCACCCTTTTTCCATGTTCTAAAGTTTCAATCTCTCCACCAAATGGTTCTTGTTGTTATTGATTATGAAGGTTTTGTYCTTCCAAAATCTGGTAACAATGTCTTTTTAAAGTAGTAGACCACAGCACAAAATGAATTACTGTTTCTTCAAGAAGAAAATATGAATTTAAGGGAATGAGACATCCCTTGTTTTGGTAAAAAGATGATTTTTTGACTTTCACTTGCAGCAAACTATAAAAGACCCAGCACTTGTAATTGATAGTACTAGTACTGGTGGTATCCCAACAACATGACATTGAATCATGGGGGCCTCTGTTRCCATTGAAGAAATGAAGGTATGGACAAGTATGAGTTTAATGGGAGTAAAATGTGTGAACTGTAAAAACTCTACCGCACCCTGCATGACAAAGGGCATTCTACTCAAACACAAAAAATTGAAAAATTGTTAATAGTAGTATTACTAGTAGTAGAAGAATTGCAGTTGATTTTGAAGCCCCTTTTTTCTTATGAGTACCAGATCCCACATAGATCTAGTACATGCACCACCAGTTACTTCTTGTGACAGATACTAGTAGTAGAAACAGTGTAACAAGGTAATTAAAAATGCTGCTCCAGCAGTATGGCCCACCAAGAAGAGGAGCAGCTGGTCTTTGGGGGGAAATCTTTGCTACTAATAGTATTAGGAAGAGTGCCCTGTGTGATTGTTAGTACATCATGATCATAGGCCTGGGGAGAGCTAGTGGCAGTGCCACMTTAACAGCCACCAGTGTCACCAAAYTTTGCTGTTTTCAGAGACTGGCTGCATAAGTTCTTTTCAGAGACTGGTGGCTGCATTACAAATTAGACCACCAGCAGAACTTTCTTATTTAAAAACTTTAGACCACCAGACTAAGTGGTGCCCTGTCCAAGTTGATATACTTTTCTAAAGGTTTGTGTCACTGCTGGGAAGCCAAAGGATGCTGTGGAGGCTTAGAACTACTAGTAATAGTAATAGTCTTTCAAAGTCATCCTACTGGTACTAGTAGCAGTAGTAGTGGATGGCCTAGTAATTCCACTTAATTTTAGCTGTAATTTTACTCCGATTAAACTCGTACGAGTACGTACGTACTGTTGCTACTGCAGCAACTCGTTACCATCGCGAAAAAATTGTAGAGACCATCATAAATGGTGCARTGCCATTTTTGACAACAGAAGGGAATCTTGAATAGTACCGCCGGRACTCTTTCCGATATCGGGAGTGCATTCAAACACAACTATGTCATGGTTAAAYAACGTCAACAATCTGCTGACCAAGTTAGATGGGCAGGCAGAAACGATGGCCGAAATGGTTGCGGAACATGACGAAGCAGCCGACGAAGTTGGGATTGATAACATTCTTGCCAAACGAGGACTGTCATCAGTGAGTTCCGATGACGAAGAGGAAAGCGATGCCAATGATGGGGAACAAAAGTCAGAAGTAGATGATCTCAAAGAAGATCAAGAGATTGCAGACGACAGCAAAGATGGTGACAAGAAAACAGAAGACTCGAACGCCGTGGACACGGCTGGTGGCTCACAACTATCAGTCGAGAAAGAATCACCAGAAACTGTTGAAGAAAAGGCAGCGGCAGCGAAAGTTTTGAACGAGGATACCTCGAACGACGACAACAAAAGCGATGACGGAGGAGGTGCAGTAAAAACACCGGTAGTGACGGAACGACAGGAAACAAAGGCTTCCAATACGGACAGCTTGGAAGTTGTGTCTTCGCAAGATCCGTCTTCCGGGAAACCCAAGGAAGATGCATTGCAATCGACTGGCAAGGGTCTCAAAGACAATTCACCAGAAAGCGACGACGGAGATGATGAGAAGAATAAAACGACTCCGTCGAATCCTCTTTCGTCGTCGACACCTGGGGATGGGACGGCTCCTTTGTCATTGCCATCCCCACCAGACATGGCTTCGCTGAGAGCAAAAGTTGCACCAATTCAGGAGGCATCGGCTTTGMTTTTTGGTCAAAAGGAGAAGCAGCGACCAGCTGTCATGACTTCGCCCGGTCGGCCGAAACGAGAGCTTGCGCAGGCGCAAAAGGAAGCTCGTATTTTGAGACGGCACGTTGTATCTCTAAACGAACAGCTTGAGACAGCCGAATCGGAATTGCAAGCACAGCGGAAAGAACTTGAGAGGGCAGGAGAACGCATGGAAAAAGACCGGATTCGGCTAAAGCAAGAAAAGGATGCGTTTCAAAAACGAAACGCTCAAGAAACAGAACTACTAAAGTCACAACACGAGAAGACTTTAAAGGAACAACAGGCAAGGTTTGAGGAACAGCTGGAACGGTACAGAGGAAAGCTATCGGAGGAAGAAAAACGAAGAAAACAGCAAGGTGGAGACTGGGACAAAGAAATGTCAAACGCGATAGAGCGGGAACAGGAGATGAGACAAACATTAAATGCGCTGGAAGACGAGAAGGCGGTGCTTTTGTCTCAGATTTCGACCCTCCAAGGGCAACAAGCAGTACTAGGATCGCGATTGGAATCACTGACAGAGGCAGCTGATAATGCGATGGAGCGTGAACGCGATGCAGAAAATCGGTTGGATGTGGCGYTAAATCAGCACGCACGCCAAATAACACAACGACAGGTGCGTTCTCCATGAATCAGTTCTTGTGATGGAAAATCTATTTTGTGTTTCTGATGTGGCCGTTCTGTTGTTATTGTATTTGTACCCACAGGCAAGAGAATCAGAGCTTGAACGAACAGTTCAGGAGCTCAATGCAGCTCTAGTAGTGTCGTCCCAAGGCAAGGTTGATGAGGAGACTCCCTCCAGGGTAGGGGGCAATGATAGTCTCTTGGAAGCCCGGATWAGCGCTTTGGAAATGGATCTTCAGGCCGCRAATTCAAACCTTGCCATTGAAAGAGAACAAGTAAGTGGACCACTTTTTTTGTTATTGTTATTCTYTATAGAYGTATCAGACGAAACCAACAGCTTTACTAACACGATTTTGTCCATAGAGCGAGACTCTACAAATCCAGCTTCGTAGTTTTACAAATGAAACTACTCACGAAGCGACGATGGTTCATGCTAAGGAAATACAGTACGATCGCAAAATAGCCGATATGTCTCTGACGATAACTAAGCTGGAAGCAGAAGTAAGGGAGTATGAGAAAGTAAATTCACAGGATCCTAATCCTTCGGCAGGCTCTTTCAATGACGCGGAACTGTCGAATCGGATTAAGGTGCTTTCAGAAGAAGTTGTTCGGTTGCGTGATAAGATTGCAAACCATAATAGTGAATCTCTTGCTATGAAAAACCGTTTGAAGGTGGCCGTTGACAGGTCGAAAAAGCTTGAAGATGAACTATTGATCTACAGAAACTCACCTGGTGCTGACGGAGATCGATATGATTCCATGGAACAAAATCTGAAGCCCGGTATCTATTCGAAAAGGAGGCACGGTGCCCAGGCCAATGGATCTATTCGCAATGCCATGCTTCTGAACTCGTCACGAGGTGACAGGGCCGAGAAAATTGGTCAGGTTGTTGATCAGATTGACTCATTCGCTGCTTCGACAGGTAAGTGRAGGAGTGTGACTGTGGGTATTGCTCATTTGTTGTCAAAATAGGCTCACCTTGTCTAAACCGTGAATTTACTCTTTTGTGRCACAATCTCAGGGAAATATTTGAGACGGAATCCTCTTGCACGCGCGGGATTTATCTTTTATTTGATWTTGATGCATTTGTGGACGTTTGTTTTGCTTTTCTTCCATGCTCATTCCTTCGACACAATTCCAAATAGTTCAGATATTGGTCATTTGTCCCACGGTCCGCAGGCAGTGATGCAACAGCACGAACTGAACAAAAATATTGATCTCATTATCAATTCTGATGCAAGTGCAGCTGTACAAATYAGTGCCGACAAACAACAACGTACAGCACACAAGGATCAAACTGAAGAGGAAGTAAAGGCTGCTTAAAGACAATAGTCAACTGACGCTTTTGTGGTATGGACAACTTCAATATAATGGCCAACGATGGAAATCCATCGTAACCAAGTGCCACAAAAGCATTRCGTACCCCACGAATATGGAAGCTTCCGAGAAATCACTAGCTCTTGTGTAGATGTAGTGTGGCACCCACCAACATGTCTTTGACGAAAAAAGAAAACAGCAATGGTTAGGGTCGAGCAAATAGTTGGATTACATTTGAGAAAAGAAGATGGTGCAGTGGCATTTTTCTTGCTTGATTGATGAGGCTGGTGCAGTGATTAGACTGTGCCAACCTAACGGCTCAAGATACTATTACTTKTAGTAGTAGTGCCTGTATCTCTTGAATCTTGTTCTTTTTCCAAGTGATAATAATAATAGTGCCATTCTCGTATTTAGCAGTCGTCATGATGGTGAGGAATTGTACAAAGATCTAGTACCTGGTTGGTATGCCCCAATCAATGCTGTACAATACCGTGCTGGAGGTAATTTGTGAACTTTACAATGCAAATAACAGGACCACMAAGAATGCTAGTATTACTAGTACTTGTACTATTGGTAAAAATGGTAATAATGAGAATTTACACCATCTTGTTGTTGCTACTCACCAAGAGTTATCAGCACTTTTAATAGTTCTATGACTATTGAAGAGAAGAAAATTCTGACTATGATCATTATTGAGGATAGGGAAGAATCTTGCTTTTTCCTAGTGCCTGATCCTTGTATCCTAGTAGTACTACTAGTAGTAGCTAACAAGGTGAAGAAACATGCTAGTAGTAGTAGTAGTAGTACGTCACAGTAGTAGTACTTGTAGTAGTAGTAGTAGTAGTAGTAGTAGTAGTAGTAGTAGTAGTAGTAGTAGTAGTAGTAGTAGTAGTAGTAGTAGTAGTAGTAGTATCACTAGTACTAAGTTTTTTTTAAATCATTATTGAGGATACTAGTACTACTAGCGAATAGCTTTATTTCAAAAGAATACCCTGCTAGATATCAGCTCATAACAATACTGGTGGCAGCACCAGCAGCTTGCACCAATAGACCTGGCAGTATCACGTGTGCCAGAGGTTTCAGCTTTTCATTTCAGCTTTGGCACTCATGCTAATACTACCAGCAGAAAAACACTAGTAATTCATAGCAGTATACAATCACAATTATGATGCCACCAGTGTAATCATACTTCTAGATATTTGAAATGAATGTTGTAGTATCAGCCACAGCTGTATCAGTACTAGCACCTCTTGGGTCATTGGCCTGTCTTAGTGGTAAGGGAACTCAAATCAACACTCTGATTAGTACAAACAACTCAGCTTGTAGAAGAGGT